CCTTACCTGCTTTTATGATCTCCTTTTCCTCAACGTTGGATACTTTGACAATTATGTGTCTTGGTGACTTCTTGGGATTCAGTCTGGCTGGTGTTCTTTCAGCCTATTGAATGGCTGCCTCATTTTCATTTATTAAGCTGGGCAAGTTTTCCTCTAAGAGTTCCTTGCTATTTTCGCTGTTGATTTCTTTGTTGTGTCTTGTTCTGGTAGCCCAATTATTAATAGTTTCTTTTCATAGCATCAGACATGGCTCTCATGTTTTCTTCAGCTAATTTGATTGTCTTATTTGACTGCTTTTTCCATTTCCTGAGGTCTGCTTGGTTATCCTCTAGGTCGCTGGTGTGACTCTGCCTCCTCAAGCCTATTGGCAAGATCTGTCAATTTGTCACTGGATTTTGTTATTTCATCCCTTAACTCTTGTATTTCCCTTTGGTGCATTGCTTTGATCTCCTCTAGCATCTCATCTTTTTTTCTGCATTGCTTCCCTCATATCCTTTATGACTTCAAACAGCATTTTGAAAATTTTTTTGTGACAGGTCAATATCTGCTTCGTCTATGCCCATCGTTAGGTTCATGACTTCTTCTGGCATTGTCTTCTGTTTCTCCTGCTTTTTTGTTGACACTGTTAGAACTGGTTGCTGTTTACGTGTTGTTTTAGAGGAGCCTGGAGCCATCATCCTGAGTCAAAGAGCCCTAGGCTCTCTTGGGGGATTCATATGAGTCCTTCTATGAACTACCTGCCGGTAGTTGTACTGAGAGGTCAGGCTATCACTGTATCTTCCTGTGGTTTCACTCTTGTCCTGGCCATCCAGTATTCCGTTACTTGGGAGTCTGTGCTGGATATTCCTCTCCTTTGACACTGGTAGGGTTGTGGACCCATGAGGGCCTTGCTTCCCTGGCTAATCTCTAAGTAGGCTTCACGGTGCTTGGAGCACCTCTCTGCTGGCCTGTGTTTTCCTCTGCGACTGGAGTGCTGAGGAGGGCGTGTGGGTATACCCACCTTGGTGTAGAGCTCTGTAGCTGGTAGGGGGATTACTGTAGACAGAGAGATCATCTCAGAGATTGGGTGGATGTTCCCGCAGTAGTGTGGAGCCCCACCAGTGGTGGCCAGGCGTTTCCCCGTCACTTGTAGGGCCTCGGGATTTAGGCTGGGGAAATGTCCCCACATTTTGTAGGGGAGAACCCCCTGCTGCTTTGTGAGTTGGTTTGCCCTAAGCGGAGGGTAGTGTTCTGGAAGTCAGTAGTGGTTTGATAGGAGAGTGGGAGGAGGAAAGAGGGAAAAAGAAGAGACAAAAGAACCCAGCTCGTTGAGACTGACTGAGCTCATTGAGATAGAAATGCTAGTGAATGAAGAGGGAAGAAATAGAATTGTAGGTAAAGTGATAACTGAGGCTTGATCACCTGTCTGTGATGCTGGAGGAGTTCCAACTCTTCCTCTACGTAGCGGGATGCTGTACCGTTTTATGTAGGGTTCCACAGATGCTGTGTGGGATTACTTTCTAAGGCAAGATCGCACCTGTGACCAGGCATCCGTTGAGCTATGGAGTTTACTGGTATGCCTGCCCTGTGCTTTATGTAGCACTGCAACAGGGGCGGGGGGCGGGGTATTCCCACAGCCCAGTCTAGGGCCCCAGCTATGTGTAGTCACTGAAAGGGAGGCTGGGCTTGTTGTCTTATCTAGGCTGCTGGTGTCCTACTACTAGATCAGAGGCTTTTATTTTTATTTATTTTTTTGTCTCCTTGGCCAGCTAGACTAAAATCAAATTAACGTGTCACACACAGTCTCTAGTCTGCAGATCTGTGCAGTTTGAAACTGACACTTGCTATAGTGGGTCTTTGTTATGTAAAAAGCTGCCAGGCCCTGTAGCCAAGTTCTGGCATTCCTTAGCTCAGTTACTTCTTAGGCTGAATTATGTTAAGGACCCCCGCCTATGTGCTCTTTGGAGATGAGAAACCAGAGTGCAGTTTGAATTATTAACCAATAATATATATTTCACCTTTTTAAAAAAAAATACTTGTGATGTGCTCTGATTTGGGGGCTGTCAGGCTGATCCCAAGAGGAGATCCAGTTTATCAGGGGGGTTGTTTCCCTTCTCAGCCAATTGGAATTAATTCCACTCCCTGGATTCTGACTATCCGCTTATTTTCTCCCACACCATGATCTACTTCAGGTAACAGCGTGGAAAGCACTGGCGTGAGGTTCTGTCTCCTTAAGGCATCAGCCCGGCAAGCGTGCAGCTGGCGCGCGCAGGCTCGCCAAAGCTAGAACACTTTAAAGCATTCTTGGTTTGCTTTCTGAGTGGAAATCACACGCAAAAAAGGGGTTCAGGAGAGACCTTAGTACCCTAGTTCTAATTTCTGGACTCCACCTCCCTGTTCCCTTTACTTTACCAATTTTCTGGTCTGGTAGCAAGAGCTCCGGATGGGTGCGTCCTATCGGGCTGCCATTTTCTCCGGGTCTCCCCCCTTATATAGATGAGACAAGTGAGACAGAGAACGGTGAAGTAACTTCTAAAAAATAACAAGGCTGGAAAATAATGTATCCAAAATTCATATTCACAAATCTTATTTCAGGAATTTGGCTTATGATATGGTTAAGCGGTCCTTAGAATATTACAAGTGAACCAAGGATGGAGAATCCTTACAGAATGTGCACAATGGTGGGAAGCCTGAGTTATTTTAATGTTCTTCTTTCTGTATATATGCATTTCCAGGTTTGTTATTTTTCATTAAAACTTTAATAAGCAAAAAAAACTCAGGGCATTAATTTCAGGGGCTCAACCCTCCTTGTGGTAGTTAACAATCTGTATCAGTTTGAGGATTAAGAGTGTAGTGGTGGAGTCTAGCTCCCAATCAGGATGTAGCCAATAAGGCCTCTCTGGGGGAATGGCCTTCTCCAGAGTATTCTGGGAACTTCTATTGCCTGGGGTGGGTCAATTGTTTCTAAGGGCTCAATATCCTCCTCTTCTGGATCATCAGCCCATATGGTAACATCCCATGTTTCAGGGTCCCAACTTTTCCCAATCAATGCCCTCACTTTGGTTTCAGACACTGCTCTAGTTCTGCAATTCAGCTGTCGTAATTCAGCCACTTGCATAGAGACTCTAGACCTGGTTCTCAGCAATGTCAGCTCTTTTGCTAGAAAGCTCTCCTTTGTAGTAGAGGTGGAAGTTTTCAAATCCATTAGTCTGCACCTGAGGCACACTATGAGACCATTCCTCTCCTCAATCACACTTTCAATTGTAAGAACCAGACAACCAGCTTCCCTATACTTGTCATCCTTACAAAATTCCTGGAATATATCAAACATATGATCATTTAGAGTCAGCCTCTCCTTTAATCAGCACCTCATCTATTGGTGGTGCTACTTTACGTAGTGTTGAAGTAGCATTACTAATGTTAAGGCTAATCGGGCTGGAGAGCCAATTTAAGAAGCCATATTTATGATTTTATTTCTGTAGAAGCACTCCTGGTACCAAAATGTGTTACCAGGGTTCTCTAGAGAGAAAACCAGATTTCTGATAATTTTATATATTTATTTATAAAGAGATATAACATAAGAAATGAACTGTTAAATTATATGTAGATAGATATATAAGAAACAAACAGTTAAATTATAAAGCAGTACAATCGGCATCAGACATATAGGCTAATATTGGACTTATGGACTTAATCTGGACTGTTTTCTCAATACTCAACTGCTCTTGTATATAAAGCTCTTTCTTATACATGGGTGTCTCTGGATTTGCTTCTCTAGTCTACCCAGACTAACACAATTCTCTATGGCTCTAGAAAATCTAGAGTCCATGATAATTTGAAATCCCGGTCTACATTTTCCCAAACTTATTAGGAAGGAATACTTGTTTTCAACATTTTACTGTGAATTGGGTGAAGGTTTACTGAGCAAATCAGTTTTCCACACAATCCATACCCATTTTGTTTCATATCATTGATTACAATCCTCACAATGCACCAGCATTCATTCCACTTCTTATGTTGTTTCCATTCCTCCTCCTTCACTAACCTTTCTTACCTGCTGAATGTCCTAGGTCTCTTTTGATCTCAAGAGATTTATTGATTTTTGTTATGTATGAAGTGTGTACTCCCCTAGTTCTACTGTTTACCTTCTACACCTGTTTATTGTTTGGCTGCAAACTGAGCCATGGAGCTTCAGTTCCAGATCTTTAAAAGTGAGTAGGGCCATAATCTTGGGAGTTCCTTCTGTCTCTGGACCATTAATTCTGATCTTTTTTATATGAGCGATGTTGTATTTCTCTTCCAGCTCTTAAACAGGAGCTTCTCATGTGATCCTTTTCAGAGTGATCAGAAGTTCATGCAGGGCCCCATCTAGTTCTTCTGGTCTCAGGGCTGTGGAGGCTACATTTGGGTGGCCCGTTAGTCCATTGAACTAATTGTTTCCATGTATCTTTAATAGTCTTCATTCTTTGCCCCACAGACAGGTAATGAATAGTTGTACCTATAACCACTCATTAGCTTGTATGACCCCAGCCAGTACTCACCGAACTAGGATGTAGAACATTGTCTTTGTTCATTGTATTATGCCAATTGACCTTGGTATCCCTCCCAGATCCAGTAAGTCAGGGAATGCTTAGTTTAATCATTTTATTGATTGATTGCTTATTTTAAAATCATGCTAAAGGTCCGTGTTTAAAATTCTGTAAGCAGTTATTAATTGGCTTAATCCTTTTTCATATAATTCAAAATTCAAGTCTTGACCTGGAAGAATTATAATAAAAACTTAAAATACAATAATTCTATTAGAAATCACCCAAGTGACATTCTAATTAGGAAGGTATTTAAACCACAATAAAAGGTCTGTTTGACTTCATCTAGTATGTCAGGGCACTCATGAATGCGTTCAGAAAACAATCAATTCAATGTACTCCACGGACAGACATAATATTTAAATAAAATGTATCATGTATCGTGTGTGTTTTCATTGTAATAAAGAAGAAACAAATAACCAATCAGGCTTCATATCAATTAGACAACTTTTACTAAATGAGAAAACTACATTTAAAATGTGCTTTAAAACAAAACAGGATTAGAAAAAAAGATGTAGGCATTTGAAAGAACTTTGCACTGTGCTGAAAATCAAATATTTCTTGCAGTAAATACAATGCACCAATCCATAAAATGTAAGTTAACAGAATTCTCAATTTAACATCTTCAAAGACAATATTAAGGTCAAAAATTTCACATCTATGGCAGCACATCTAGAAGGGCACTGAAGTCTGATGTCCATCCCTATGACAATCACATCCACTGGTCTCAAACCTGTCTTGTAAGATCATCTTTTAAATTGACTTTTCAACTTGCCATTTGTTAATATTAACCTTTTTTCTTAAAAAAAAAGAAAAAAAAAAAAAAGAAATGCTGCAATAAAGTCTTGATCATGAACAGAAATTATTGCTACTATTAGTTCACTACAAAGCATTTCTCTACAACATTATATGAACTTTGATCATGAAAAAGCAGAGTAAAAATCTTTAGTGACATAAGCCTTACAATCGTATACAACATTCACATGGCAATATTAAGACAGTTAAGCACCCAACAACCAAAGTTGACAAAACGTCCCACTGACCAGCATTCACTTAAATACATCCTTCTTACAGAGGGGTGAAAAAAAGACAGCATCAGCTTCCAAGGCTTGTCAAAAAAGGATTCTCATGTTTGTGGATCTAAAAACAACAAAACCCCCCAAAAAAACAAAAACCAATGCAGGTGAGGGTGTTACCAGAAAGCTAAGCATGCCAAAAGATGTTTCGTGCGAATCAAAACCTAAAGCCAAAGTACCACATAATCACATTTCCAACTAATCGGGTGATACTATATGAGCCTTATCTTAAAGTTAAAGGAAATGCTACTGCACAATAGCACATCAATAAGTTAAAAATTATACTGCATAAATCCAATCAGTGGCAATTTCTGTGTAAAGGAAAGGATTCACCATCAGATGGAAAGTTTGCCCAAACTGATTAAATCACTGGATTGGACAGTTGTATGCATTTTTTGAGCAACCAATGTTTAAAATTCATTTTTCTTGTATTGAGGCATACATACATTTTCTCAGGAAGATCAAACAAGTACGTAAGTAAAAGCATGGGGAAACAAGTCAGCGAATATCTTTAAAGCTCTTCCCATAGTTCACTTTTAAAAATGTTTGGATGGGAGCAGGACGCATTAAAATTACTTGCTATTATTCAAACAAAACAAAACAAGCCCAAAATAATCAAACAACTAAGCAACACTAAAACCACATCACACAGATGGATCACCATGCTTTCGTGTGGTTTCACTATCACATCTAGTTTAACTGGGATGCTTCTCAACTTTAAAAACTGTGATACGTGAAGATGTAATTTTAATGGGGAATTTTGAATTTGGATTTAACTTTGTTGAGTATTCTAACAGAGTATACTTAGAAAAAAATTTAAGATCCTTTACCCGTCTCCTTAAGTTAAAGGGGTGACATCATAAAGGGTGTCAAATGGCTGGATGGTTTTACAGTGCACACTCATCTCGTGAAGCATGTCCTTAACAAATCTGATGGCTTCTTTACAGAATCCCTCTCTTCACCTTTTCTTCGGTGGATTCGCTGTTCGAGGTGGAGTGACAGGACGTCCAGAATTCAGTCCACCATACTGGTACTTAGCTTTCTTCTCAGATGGTTTCAGTATCTTAAAATAAATAGTTCGTTAGCAATGTTATTCTTTCCACTGCAGTAAGTTCTTCAATTGGTTTTCAATTTAAAGACACAATTTCTCACATTTAAAGACCGTCTATGTTTTACTAACATTGTTAAAGCTAAATTAAATGCTACTGAATAGTATTTTTTTTCACAGTACAGTATTATATATATATCATTCCCTTTATATTTATCACAAAGCTCTACTACATAAATCTTATCAATTATCCATTTCCTAAGTTTAAGTAAAAATTTCTAACTCATTATCGGTCACTTTCCATTCTTGTCTATCTATGGAACTATGTGTGGTCTTTTATGACCAATTTTTTTCATTTGGCATGTTTTTGGGGTTTATCTCTATTGTAGCATAAGTTAATGCTTTTTAGCTGTGCCCTTGTACGGATATGCCACCTTTCGTCATTCAATCACTGGCTGATGGATATTTGGGATGTTTCTACTTTGGGGTTATGGAAAATAACATGATGTTAAAGTATTTGTATTGACAACAGTTTTTATTTCCTCAACTCTTGGGCAACTAACTGTCAAGCTGTTTTCCTTAAGTGGCCCCGAATGAGGGTTCCAATCATAGTCATTCTGGTGGGCAAACTGATCTTTAAACCTATACTATAAAGCCTTATGAAGTATTTTCTTTTTAGAATCCAATCATCACAGTGCCTCTGTGAAAAGAATTTATTAATCTAATTCTGTATGGCAACTGTCCAAGGACAGGGTCTGGTTATCATCCTTAAACTGGCAATGCGGGATTTAAAAGCCTCTCTTTTTAAAAACATATATACAGTTGTATGCTTGTTCAGGGGGGAAAAAATCTTTTGCAGAAACCAGGTAAAAAATCATTTTGTATAAAGCACATTAAAGCTAGAGCTGGTCTCTCTCAGTAGGTGATTTTTTGTTTATAAATGGGTAAAGACCATATACATAAGCAGCCCTGGCTGCTAGCTGAAAGATGTGGCAGTCTCCATCTGCTTCCTTAAAGATGGCAAGGTTTGGAAACCCTAAGGAGTTCTACTCTGCCCTGTAGTTGCTATGGGTCAAAACTGACTCTATAGAATTGATTGAAATTTTTTTTAAAAACTCTTTTCTCTTCTTAGTTTGTAATTCTCTCTCCATTATCTGTCCCACCCATTTATCCTGCAAAAGAAAACAACTCTAAATTATTTATTGTAGTGACATTTTTTACTATGTAAGTCACTATCCAACAAGTCATAGGAATTTAACAATTTAAACATCTAAAATCAAAGATGAACCAGTACTACTTAGGATTCCTAAAACCTTCAAATTGATGTACTTCATAAAGCCTAATGAATCTATGTAAGAATCACTTCTAAAAGAAAAAATCCCGGGTAGTGGTTTTAATTAGACTAAAAATGCTATAAGTAATATATACTTGTATCATACCTGAAAGGAACACATCAAAGTTTCATCCACACTCATCATTCCACCAGCATTATCAAATTCGCCACAGTAATTTGGGGCTGAAAACAGTGTTACCAGTTGTCGTTTAGCAAAAAATTCATATCCATCTTCAACCACCTGTCACAAGAAATGTAGAACGGAAAACACATTGAAACTGATTTGTGTGTCAAAATTCTAAACAAATCTACTTTGGTAATTGTGGTTTTTATTCTTAAAATGGATCTAGCTTTTCTGTAAAGGCCATTTTCAAGGTAACTCACAAAACATGCTAATGGGTGTAGTGTCTGCAGAGAGCTCCAACATAATGTACTTCCTTCCGGCATAAAGATCACACCATAAAATACTCAATTGAATGCACAGCAAACTAGACAAAGAAGAGACCTTTCAAAAGCCATTTCTAGTTCCATCTTCTGATTTTCTGTTAGCTGAATTTATCGATTATACTTAACATGACTTGTAGACTCTGCTGTCAATTCCAGAGTAATTTAAACAATTTGCTTCTCAGGTTGAGAAATAGCTAGTGAAGTAGTATTATTTGCAATAGGTAAAAATACTTTTTGAAATCTGTTTTTAGGTCTCCTTTGATAAACTGAAAACATTCAACTACTAACCGGAAGGTTGGAGGTTCAGGTCCACCCATAGGTGCTCTACCTCGCATAAATCAGTCATCAAAATCCCATGGGGCACATTTCTACTCCGGCACACAAGTGGTTCCGGTTGACAAGCAGTATTGTTACAAGAAAGCACCTCGATAATAATGCACGGTGCTAACGCCTACTCACAGCAGCAGACAACTCATCTGTGATGTTGAACACACGGTACAGTTGCTTTCTATTAGCTTGTGACCCTATCTATCCCCAGTCTCAGCACAGTGCTCGACACCTGGTACACACTTCTTAGTTTGTGCAGTCTTTGAATATTTTTGGTTAAAGTGTTGTTTCCCACTGTGAATCTGTGTTAGGCCATGTTTTGAAAATACGCAGGAAAAGAATACACACACACACACACCTTTAGAAAAGACCAGAGACTGGAGCACTACAGGATAAGAACAAAGAGACATTTTGGCAAAGTTAGTGTCTAAAATACTCCTTCCCTCACCACCTGCTTCAATCATGAACCGGATATTACTAAGTCATTCATTTGTCGCCCCCTCCCACCACCCTTTCCTACTCTAACATTTTAAAGCTATTTCATCTCTACAAAATACTATTATCACGACTGGAAAAATGATTTGTATATAGTACTGTTTCAATAAAATTCCTGTAATTGTTGCCAAAATGTGCCAAAATGTCTCTCTTGTTCTTATCAAAATCCAAAGGCTACGCAAATTATTTGACTTTATATATATACATATATAATTTAAGAACCACATAAAATGGGATATTTCAAGAAAGCATTGAAAAATGTTAGAATTACAATGCACATTAAAAAAAATTTTAATATTCTAAGAGGGTGAGAAAAAAAGGTGAATTAATCACTTTACTTGTTAATTATAAGATCTAGCCTCTCCTCCTACAGATTACCGGAAAAAGTAATTTAACTTTCCTGTGCACAAGTTTCTTCAAAAATAAAACAAGAAGACCTGGCATGAAGAAGTTGACACTCAAACGCTCATGGCATTTTTATTTCATACCTGATGAGCTCGACAAATCAAGTCTAAATCGTGACGATTCAGAAATTTACTGACAACATCAGCTCCGAAAGTGAAGGAAACCCCACGATCATTTTCCCCCCAGCCTTGCACGTCCTTATCTGGGTCAGACCACAGCAAATCGCAGAGCAAACCTTCGAAAGGACAAAAAGGTGACAATTGAAGAAAGTGTGTCTATTTACCATTAAAAATTACTTGCTCTCCTATAACCCAGCCCAGGGGTTGCTAAACTTTGGAGAAGTCAATCTGTCCCTCTCAACAATATAAAAATTATTCAAAAATCATAAATACATTTTTTACAAATAATATTCTTTAAAAAAATTATACATGAAACTATGATAGTTTGTTTCATTTTCAATTTTACTCTGATACATGCATGCACTGAAAGCAATATATGGCTTGCAAGCCAGTTTACCAACCTCTGACCCAGCCTTTTCAACTTACCCCCTCTTCATTAAAGCAACCATGTCTTGCCTGGCCTCTTAAGGAAGTAATTTCCACAGAAGAAACCCTTATATGACACACTGAACATAGTAAAACTCCATGCAAAAGAGTGTTCCTCTTTTATGTATAGTTTCTCCATGGCATAATCAATTCAGCAAGCAGAATTCCCGGATCTGTTATTTTCCTATAGATCTATACCATTTCTGGATGTTGTCCATTCCATTAGATTATTTTTTATCTACCATATACACTCAGTATAAGGCGACCCGAATGATACGAGGCACCTAATTTTACCACAAAAACTGCACTGAAAGTGTGCTGAAAAACTCAGCTTATACTCGAGTATATACGGTATCTCAGCCAATACTTTTTAATAGCTGGCATTCTTAAACAAGTCTTTTTTATCAGGCAGATAAGATTATTTTGGTTATTTTTGATCATTTTCTTTCCCAATTCCATGAAAAATCCAATTGAGATTTCACTGGAATTCCACTTGAGATACAGATTAATTTAAAGGCAAGAAAATTTTTCTGAGGGGTACAGGATTTTAAACACATAAATGGAAAGAGACTCGGGAAAACATTAGGAAGGTCAAGACTAGAAATATTGATCACTCTAATAGTAGTAGAATTCGTCAAGGGTCTTAGCCTACATTGGGAATACACGAGGGGTCACCACAAAAAAAACCGGAATTGTTTTTCAAAGCAACCTTATCACCTTCAAAGTATACTCTCCATCTGTATGACAGGACCCTCCCTTGCTTGTTTTTTCCCTTCACCTCTTCTATGTCCTCCAATCACTGTCCTTTCATGTTCCTCTTCATTTACAGAAGCAAAAAGAAGGTGCATGGAGCGAGAGGCAAGTTGGGTTTTGCCAAAAACTGGTGCACCGAGATGGCTGCATGAGCAAGTGCATCCTCATGGTGGCAAAACCAGCCCCCCATATACCACAAATCAGGCCTTTTGGGTCGCACACTGTTAAGCAACCTTCTCAGAACCTCTAAATAAAAAGCTTCAAATAGTCAATGGTCAGGCAAGAGAGGGAAGATGAGCAAAACATATAACAATAGTCAAAACGAAGGCATGAACTTAGACCAGAGAAAGAATTTCGTAAAAGTGGGGAACTGTTAACAGAATTGAGAGTATGTTCTAAGAACTATGGTACCTAAAAAATGAGTCACCTTTGAGACTCTTGAAATTATTTAAAAGCATTTTAGAATGGGTGGCAACATATTCTTGAATTTCTACTTTGATATTTCATAAAAACTTTGATATTATGTCTTTAGAAATCTGGCACCATACAAAACCCACTGGAGTAGTTTATCTCAATTCATAAACTTTTTGATTGAAGCTGATTACGTAAGTGCACAAACTATAATCATACTTCCTATTCTGCTTCCATAGATTCCAGTGACATAGTCTTAAGAATATATAATTCCAGTGTGAACATAAAATGGACACGACTCAAATACAGTTGCTTTAGGAATTACCTGGAAAATATGATAGTCTCCAAACTTCAAACTCACCACTATCAAGTTGATTCTGACTCATACCGACTCTATAGGAGAGTCACTGCCATCAATTACATAGACTTAGTAACAGCACAGGGTAGACCTGCCCCTGTGGCTTTCCAAACGTGTCTTTCTCTCAGTGGCTGGTAGTTTCAAACTGCCGACCTTGCGGTTAGCAGCCCAATGTGCAACCACTAAAAAGTTGAATACTGAGAACCATCACATGGAGTTCTTAAATATCAGTGGATTCAAGTTAAGAACCACAGAGTAATGTAACAGTGAACAACCAAACCAGTTAGGTACATTTATAAATTAGAATCTTGATATATATTTTGAGCCAGAGCTCAAAACACATTCTTAGCCCTCAGTAACACCTTAGTATTTTTCTATTTTAACACACACTAAAATGAGAATAAGCTATCATGCATGTTATTGAAGATTTATATAAAACCACCTGTTTATGTATTAAAACTTTAAAGATTATGATTTGAAATATATATTTTAGATTATACCTTATTTAAAAAATAGAATTTTAATGAAATACTATTTAAATCGTTTCCATTAGGTTTAGTGAGTTATATTCTGCCATTACAATCCATATTTGCTTAATTTTTCCTCTTTAACAGCTGGGCCATTTTAATGTTTTGTTTTTCTTATAGTTCTCTCTCCGGTTCCAGACATGTAAACTGTTGAGTGGGATTCAGAAACGGCAATCATGGTGGCCCTGATTCAATTTTCGTCCTCACAAATAAAGGGGGAGTTGATTGCCTGAAGCTGCCATCAAACTAGTAAGGCTGCATTTGTGCATTCATCATTTTCAGGACTGTAGGAACCTGAGCCTATTTCCCTCAAACCCCCTTACCTTACCTCCTTGTATCACCAGGCCCAGCTCACTCACATCTACTTCAGTGACAGTACCTTTGGTAATAACACTCCACGTTGTGTACAGTGGGGACAAGAGGTTCTTAGCATCAAGTACTGGTAGCAAAAGCTGACTAAGTTCAGGGTGTGTAACATGTGCCTTCTTGAAACATTACGCCCACTGGTGCGATGAATCATTCAGATTTTAGTGGTTTCTGCGTAAAGCCATCCCCAACAAAGCACAGACTTTAGTAACCGTCCTTTTGCATGCCTTCTTCTTCCTCTTTTCTGCTTGAATAACCTTTAGTATACTTCCATTTCCCCCAGCATGGACTTTGGGCAGAGGACTTCCCATTTTCCCACTTTCCCTTTTCGTTTCTGTTTAATCCTATTGGAAAGTACTTTAGCTTGGAATTGTCCTCCTCTGTCCATCTCATCATTCTTTTGTTTGATATTTCTCTTTTCATACATCTTGATAATCTGTTTCATTTGTGTTTTCTCAACACAACACTGCTTAATCTTTTTCTATTCTTTGATCATTCATGAGCCTCTCGGCTGCTGCTTTCTCATTTTCTCTTGGTAATCCTGAGAGAGTACCATAGCACTCACAATAGAGCTTGGTATGTTCCTCTTGTGCCACAATGACAGCAGCAAAGCCAGCAGACAGTGTGAGGCACGATGAACCACTCAATTTTCAGGTCCCTGAAACCCACAAGGCGACTCCTCGCAGCCCATAAGTTGTGCTATTTAAGTTTTACAACATGTAGTTACTTGAGTTGGCTGACATTGGAGGTTCTATACAACAGTTTATAGTTGATAATGTCCACTGATGAGTAGCAATTAAGCATGATACTACTGGATTTCCAGTGCATTTGCCACACAATCCAATGACACTTGGATGTTGAAAATGCATGCTTACCTAGGAGTAGTTTTGAGTACTTTCTATGTAGCAGCAGGAAGCCCTAGTTAAGTTCTCAGTTGTGAACCCAAAGGTTGGTGGCTTGAACTCACCAGTGGCTCTATGGGAGAGAGGCAGTCATCTGCTTAAGGATTATCATCTAGAAACTACAGACACTTCCATCTTTCTCTGTAGGTCGCTATGAGTTGGGGATCAACTCTACACAGCACACAACAATGCTGTTAATTGTGTGTGCAGAGCAAAAGTTGACCAAGTTTGCATGTGACCTACTGAAGCAGCGGACCAGCTTTGACCTTCCGACGTGCCTGAGTGAGTTTAACTACCAAGCTTTTGGTTAGTAACTGAGTACTCTGTGTCACCCAGAAATTCTTGGTACTTTCTATGTAAAACGAGCTCAGTGAGCACCTAGCCCAACAGCTATCTGATGAGTAATAGATTTCCTGTCAAAAAATTTAAAATCTACATTTGGGGAGGGTGGGGACAAAAGAGCTCAAGAAAGAATGTTTTGAAATTGATTATGGTAGCAATTGTAAAATCCTGCTTGATGTAACTGATCTATGGAATATAACTTATGATATCTGTAAGAGTTCCCAATAAAATGATTTTTAAAAATAAATAAAAATCTACACTAGAAACTGAGAATGGTCAATTTTGGTTATATTACAAAGGGTTTAAAAAGAAGTAGAACTGAACTGCATTCAATTCAATGAATGTTCATGGCTTTTGATGTCAATGACTCACAGTGACCCTACAGGATAGACGACATCTAACTGCCCCATAGTTTCCAAGGCTGTAATCTTTATGTAAACAGACTGCCATTCTGTCTCCCACAGAGGAGCTGGTTGAGTTTTTACAACTGACCTTTTCATTAGTAGCTGCTTAGGGTCACTATGAGTCAACTTCAACTCGATGGTAATGAGTTTGGTGTTTCAGTTTGGGTTGGTTCAAATAGGCAGCACAAAGGGTTGGCTAGCAGTATTTTAACCACAACACCACCAGGAGTCTTTTGTAATGAGTAATTACAAATACTTTAAAACCAATAGAAAAATATGTAAGTGGCAACTAGGCCTTTCATTGATTTATAAAATTATAATTGAATAATTTATCAATCAAAACAGGATAATCTCCAACTGGAACATTTTTTTCTTTTACTGTGAATTAACAATTATTCTGAATGACCAAAGGGTCAAATTTCAAAATATATTTCTCTAGAGCCTGAAGAGCTCTAATTTATCAATGAAGCAGAAAATAACTAAAACTACTAGATAATTTAAAAGGTAAATTATAACACCAGCAAACAAAGTTAATTTTACTGAGAATTCCTTTTACCAATTGAAGGGCATAACTAATTCACTTTGAAAGAAGGAAATTAGAGATAAATCAATACTAAGATCTTTGACAAAACTGAATCATACTATGGTACTGTATATAAAATTTTTAAGTTTTGAAATTTTGGGGTTTATTAGTTACGTATCAGTTTACTGACAGTAAAAAAAAGGAACTCTATTCATATAACGAAGCTTAAAAGATCAAATATGCTAACGTTTCCCGAAAATCAATGAGTGCAACTCTTCTCTATACTTACCTGTATCAGGAACATCAGTAGGCCTCATGATTCTTCGAATCTGCTCCATAGATTGTAGATCTGGTGACAGTCCTATAAATATAGACATAGTACTGATATCTAAAAAGAAATCTTAACCCTGGACCAATAAAATGTACTTTAAACGTTGCCTTAGCGATCAACATACTGAATTACCATGAATCTCAGTTTGATATGACACTGTGATTTGACCATTGTCAAGAACTAAGACCACTGCCAGGTCCTACACCACCCTCATGATTGTTGTTTGAAAGCACTGTGACAGTCTTTATGTCAATCCATCTCATTGAAGGCCTTCCTCTTTTATGCTCTACTTTATTAAGCAGGATGCTCATTCTCCAGGGACTGATGTCCAAAATATGTGATAGAGTCTAGCTATCTCCACTTCTAAGGAGCACTGTGGTTGTACTTCTAAAGCAGATTTGTTCACTGCGTTTTCAATAATCTATCAGCACTATAATTCAAGTGCATCGATTATTCTGTGACCTTCCTTATCCACTGTCCAACTGCCATGTGCTTATGAGACAACTGCGAGTCCTCACAGTGCTACCTTTGTCCTTCAGCACCTTGAAGAGGTCTGATGCAGCAGGATTACCCAATGCAATGCATCAACCGTTTTCTTGACTGCTGTTTTCATGGGCACTCATTATGGATCTAGACAAAAATGAAATCCTTGACAACTTCAATCTATTCTCCAATTATCATGATGTTGCTTATTGACCCAGTTGTGAGAATTTTGGTTTTCTTCACACTGAGTTGCAATCCACAATGAACTGTAGTCTCTGATTTTCATCAGCAAATGCTTCAAGTCCATCTGGCTTCTAGCAAGCAAGGCTGTCAACTGTAAATCCTTAAATTGTTAATAAGCCTTCCTCCAATCCTGATGCCACATTCTTCTTCAGACAACCGTTTCTTGAGTCATGTGCTCACCATACAAATTAAGTAAAGTATATAAAGTAGATTAAGTAAAAGATATAATGCTGACCCACACCTTTTCTGCTTTGAAAGCAGTTAAGTATCCCTGTGCTGTACTGGAATAACTACCTCTTGGTCTATGTATAGGTTTCTCACAAACACCAGGAAGTGTTCTGGAATCCCCATTCTTTTCCATGCTACCCAGTTTATTGTGGTCCACAGGGTTGAATGTTTTTACATAG